ACCAAGGACATGTGGGGGCGGGTCTTGTGGACGCTGGCGAGGGGCGGCCTCGTCTGTGCTGGGCAGGCTCGCCCCACACACCGGGGCATGCTTTGCCTCGAGCACCACGACCTTCACGGCCTCTGCTTCCCTGGGAGCTCTTGCTCCCACCCAGAGGCCTTGCACGGAGGAGCGAGGCGTAGTAGTCTTTCCCAAGCTCTGAGGTCCGGGCCCCTCGGCCGTTCTCCCGGCTGCTGGCGGAGCCCCAAGTTGGACTGAGTTCCCCTGACCCCGCCCACTCTGGCTCAGCACGTCCCCCGGGGCCGAGGCAGGGTGGGCTGGCTGACCAGTGCTGGCCAGTGCTGGCCAGGCCCTTCTGTGCCCGGCCCTTTGGAGAAGCCCCGCAGGGGAAGCGCCACCCTTCTTCCCGGGGCCGTGGCATCCGGCTGATGCCCGGCGTGGTGACGGCTGTCTGGGGACTCTGATGTGGATCAGACGGCCAGGAGCAAAGAGCCTCCTCTGATGTCAGCTGTGGCCTTTGAAGTGACGTGCCCCGAAGTGAGCAAACACCCTAATTGACCCAGCCCCAGATCTGTACTTAGCCCTTCTGAAGGTGCTCGGGTCTCGCTGGGGCGCTGGTTTGCTTGGCTTTGTGTGCCACGCCCTGTGCCAGCTCTCCCCAACTTTGGCTTCCCACCTACCGCACAGTGTCCCGCCTGCGGCGAGGATTTAGGACGTCAACAAAGACTTGGCAATATGCGCTCCGCACCCAGGACTTCTGACACCCGCCCTGGGGCCCATTGTCCATTGACCTGGCCCGCGGGGGCGGGGACGGGGAGCTGAGGTCGGCATGGGGGGACTTCAGGAGACAGTCGCTTTTGCTGTCTCGGCTGTGGGGACGGCTGTGGGGACGTCAGTCTCCTGAGCCACCTGCTGCGGCCGGGCAGGTGCACACCTCACCTGGCCTTGCAGGCTCCTCCCCCGGGGGTGAGCGTGAGGCTCACTCAGCCATGTCCCTCGCCTCGAAGGACCGTGGCCCACTGCGAGCTACAGGCCCCCAGCGGCCGCAGGCTCCTCGCTGCCTGGGGCTGGTGGTCTCTGAGCTCTCGGCCATCAGGCTTTGGTGCCCACACCTGACTGGCATTTTCCTCCCCGGCTCTGGAGGACCTGCCGCGGCAAGGGGGAACTGCCGGCCCGCTCCCCCCACCCGCCCCCGCCCTGGGTCTCCTCGTGGGCCAAGAGCGTGTGCGCCTTGCTCGAGGAGGCTGCGAGGAGGCTTGGGCGGGCGGGAGGGGGCTGGCACCGCCAGGCTGGGCCGGGCAGCCGCTTCCCAGGGAGCCCCAGACAGAGCGTCTGCAGCTGGGGGCCCGTGCCAGCTTTGATGTGGCGGCGTGGGAACCAGCCTGTGGGGCTCGGGGCAGCGCCGGCCTGGGGAGGGGCCGGCCGGTCACACCCTCGGCAGGTCCAGGGCTCGAGCCTCCAGCCGTATCTGCACCTCACCGCCCAGCCCCTTCGCAGACCTTGTGTCTAGACAGCGCTGGGGGAAATGCTCGGTCTGGGCGAGGAACTTGGCGGGCAGCTCTGGCTGCGCCCAGCCCCGAGGTGAGGGGGGGCCCGCCAGCCCCTTGGTGCAGACGGAGGGCCTGATGCTGGTGGGACCGGCTGAGCCCTGGAGAGGCGGGGGCCAGGCGACACCCACACAAGCCCTGTGGCCTCCTGGACACCGAACACCTCTCTCGACCCACGTGTCCGCCTGCACTTACGGGTCCCTGCCATGGCTGGAATTCCAGGTTGACGGCACTGGGGGTGCAGGCCTGGGAGTCGGGAGCCTGTCCTGGTGCTTAATGTGAGGCTGGCTGGACGTCACTGCCCCTCTGGGCCTGTTCTCAGAGACGGGGGATGGGCCCTGATGCCCACGGTATTGTGCAAGGGCTTTCTTACCTGGGAGGTACCACTCCACCCTCCCTCCATCCAGGCTCCCTTCACAAGCCCCGCCGCCCCGACCTGTGGCCACTCCCCGCTTGCTGCCCGCGGCTGTCCTGTGTGACCTGGGAAAGGTGTGCGTAAAGAGAAGCCTAGACCAGGCCATGCAATGTCGCCCCGCAGCGCGGGTGAGGCCCCCTGGCCTCTTGGGGCCCAGTTTTCTTCCTCTTTTGTTCAAGTGAGAACTGGTTCTTGGGGAGACTCTGGGTTCAGGGTGCTGGTGTCCACTACTCAAGCTCGCATGGTCACTCGGGTGTGGGTGACTGTGCGGGCCAGCCTTGGCCGGGGCTCTCCGGACCCTGTTACCACCAGCAGCAGGCAGTGTCTGGGCGGCCAGGTGAGGAAGGGTCTCCTCTGCCTCCCCGCTTCAGCTCCCCAGGGCCTTTGCCCCCTCTTAGCCTGAGTTGAGACTTGGCAGAGAGCCCCAGGGAGCTGAGCTTGTAGGCCCCTCTGCGTCTGACCCCCGGGGCCTGGGAGCCTGCGTCTGGCGGTCTCCTGTGGGGGGACTGGCGGGAGCAGGCACGCAGGGGGTGAGTGAAGGCTAAGTGAGGTCCACAGTGAGCCCAGCCACCCGGCTCTCTGATGTGGGTCCAGTCTGTGCCTGGGCCGGGCCACCTCTCTGCTCCAGCGCCATCTCTGCCTTGAAGTTGGCGAAAAGCAGCCGTTACCTTGGGCAGAAGCCAGGATCCTTCGCTGCTGTGTCCCCTCACATGAGACCCCTCGGCCGCCCCTCAAGCCCAGCGCTGAAGGCCCCTCCTAGGCCCCAAAGGAAGGACAGTGTCCCCTGAGGGCCTCTGGAGAGTGGTCGAGTACCCGTCACCGCGCTGACTCCTGCCCACCCACTACTGGGACTGTGGGGTGAGGTCATTCCTGGCCGGGGCAGCTGGCTCGGGCCCAGGGTAAACAGGCTGTGCTGACGGTGCTGAGCTGGCTGGGGTGCTGATGGGTGCCTGGAGGGGTGGGGGAAGGCTCAGCCCTGCCCCAGCACACCCGAGGGCAGAAGGTCACCGGCCAAGGGATCTGCGGGGCCCCAGCCAGGGCGTGGGGGCCGGACCGGCCGCTGGTGTTGGCGGGGGCTCCCACCACTGGGGCCTACGGACCCCACACTGCCCGCAACTGACTCATGACCCCTCACGTGAGACGCGACACCAGCCAGGCTCGTCCAGAGGCCGTTAGGTCACTGACAGCCCCAGGAAGTCAGTGAGGTCGTGGGGTCTTTGCCCCCAATTTCCAGAGGGGAGCACTGAGGACTGCAGCGGGTGGGCGCTCAGGCCGGGGTCGCACGGGGCCGCCTGGCCCGGGGTCTCGCTCCTGCCCGCGAGCTGAGCCAGCCTCCCGCGGGCTGGGGTAAGGGGCCGGCCTTCCACGCAGCCTCTTTAGTTTTTTAATATCGCTGAGTGTCTAATGCCACTAGACATTCTTTCTGATAAATTCAAACTATTTCCGCCCCAGGCCCTTGAGATGGTCTCTCGCGTCCTCACTGTTCTGCGGCTCCTCTCGCCCGTTTCCACGATGCCGCGGTCCCCAGTCAGTCTGCTTCTTCCCTTCCAGGCTTCACTCAGTCTCCCTCGTTTTCAGGACATGGGGGTGCGTGCGTGTGGGCAACCGATCTGCCTCCAGTGCAAGACAGAGCTCGGGTGGGGCCACCGTCCGGCGGTGGGGTCCGCTTGGGGTCCGAGGCCCCTCCTCACACCCCGTCCTGCTCTGACCCGGCGGCCTCCTAGCCCGCGGTGCCCTGCTGGAAGGGGCTTCTGGGGTGGGGCCGGCCGTGGATTTGAGTCTGGATTTGGGGTTGCAGTCCCCGGTTTAAAGCCCTGCTTTGTCTCAACTCACCAGTCACTTGGAGCCTGGGTTTCCTGATGAAAGATTTATTTACTTATGCATACAAAAGCTGGGGCGCAGGCCAGAGGTGTGGGGGGTGAGAGGATTCACCAGACACAGAGCGGGGAGCGGAACAGGTAGATCTACTGAAGTCCACTGCTGAGGGAGCAGCGGGGAGACTGGAGAGGTCTGCTGCGCCCTGTGGGTCACTCCCTGGCCGGGGATCGAGCTCATGTACAGTGGGTGCGGTACCCTCGCAGTTCTGAGACTCAAGCCCTGCACTACCAGGAGGCCCCTCCTCATCTGTTAAAGGGGCCCACTGGTCATCTACCTTGTCCACTGGCACCCCTGGCTGGGGCAAAACTAAAATAACCATGTTCCCCACTACCCCATCTTCCCGGCCCCCTCTTTCTTTTTTGTGGCAGACACCATGAGGACTCTGGGATTGCATTTAGCACCAGGCCTGGGCTGGGTCTCGGCCTGGTGGACGCTGTTCTGGGCAGCTGCTCACTTGACTCCAGGAATGAAGGCCCAGTGCGCTCCAGGGAGGCCCAGCACTTTCCCTGTGGAAAACCAAGTCTTCTAGGCCCTGGTGACCACAGCTGACTTTCTTTGGGTTTGAAGAGTTGTTTCTTCAAACAACAGAGTCAGGCTCCTGACTCTGCCTGGTCTCCTCGGAGCATTGGGGATCGGGCTGGGGACCAGAGTGGTCCTCTCGGGTCCTGGTGTCTGGGGGTCCTGCCTGGTTTCTGTCACAGGAATCGCATGCACGTAGCACAGCACCTCCTGGCCTCAGAGCTGCCGATTGTCCAGGGATGAACGTGTCTGTCACAGCGGGGACAGATCCATCCCTGTCCTTCCACCTTGGTGGGGTGAGGGGGAGCTCGGGATCTTCCCTGGGGCTTCTCTAAGCCAGCCGGGGCAGTCTTGCCCCAGGTCCTGATGCTGCTCTCTGTCTCCAGGCTTCAGGACCCCTGTGCTGAGCGCTTCTGGGAGACCCTGAATGTGTCCAGCACCTTTCCCATGAGGCCCTCAGCCCGTGGCTTCGCTTCCGTGGCTGGGGCAGCTCACGGCGCTGGTTCTAGTGGGTGGAAGGGGAGCAGCCTGGCCTGGATTTCTGCGGGGCTGGTGTGCACGGTGGCCTGTCGCACCCTCCCGCCACACCTCGCACCTGTGTGCCCGCGGGTGCCTGCGTCCACGCTCGCCTTTGGTTCCAGGGGAAGCTGCCCGTCCTGCTGCTCGGCCGCTCCTCGGAGCTGCGGCCCGGAGAGTTTGTGGTGGCCATCGGGAGCCCGTTTTCCCTGCAGAACACGGTCACCACGGGGATCGTCAGCACCACCCAGCGCGGCGGCAAGGAGCTGGGGCTGCGGAACTCCGACATGGACTACATCCAGACGGATGCCATCATCAACGTGAGCGTCTGTGCGCTGCCGGGCAGGGCAGGGCAGGCTTATGGTGCAGGGGAGACAGTCCTGGAGATGCCCGGGGCCCCTAGAGCAGACAGGTGAAGGGCTGGTCCTCGCCACTTGAACTCTGCAGGGAGGGGTGCTCCGGAGTGCTGTGGTCTGCAGTCCCAGGGTCCCCCCAGCTACCCCAGAGCCTGCAGCCGGCGCTCCAGCTGCTTCTGCAGGTCCCGGCAGGAGTGCAGTGACCTTGGCAGGGCCTGGTCCCCAGGAAGTTGTCGCTGTGCCTTGGGGACACTGCACCCACGGGGCCCCGGAGGCAGGCCTGACTCCCGGCAGTCAGCTCCGTGGGATCCTTTAAAGTCCCACTCCCCTGCCATAGCCCCCCACAGGCTCAACGTTTCTGAAGCAGTGATCTTCGCCCCCATCTGTCTAGCTAATCATCAGTTCACTGTTAGCGCAGCCTGTGCTGTGTGTGAGCCCCTCAGGTAGGCTTTGCTCCCACGCTCCTGCGGGCTGCATGAGCTAGAACTCTGGGTGTCCAGCCCCGGCAGCAGAGCGGGTCACGCGCTGGGGCAGCTGAGCGGGTTTGATGCTGGCGTGGGCGGGCAGTGGGCAGCGGCCGAGACGGGGAAGAGCGGGAGCTGGTGGGGGCTTTCGGGAGTTCACTGTTAGCTTTGGGCTTTGGAGCCAAAGACAACTCCCATTTATCGCACCTCTAGAACTTCCCGAAAATTGTTGAGCCCTTTTTTTCCTACCAAGATAGCAGGTTGCCAAGAACAAAGTCTCAGGAATGAACCTGCACTGGGAAGTCTGCTAGGCGGGGAAGTGAGTGGCCGGGACACAAACCATAACCTTCTCATTTTTGCTCGATTTCAGTATGGCAACTCCGGCGGCCCACTGGTCAACTTGGTAAGGCCTTTTACTTCGATGCACTTGCTTGTTTTTCTTGCTTTCTTTGCAGACAAGAGCTTGCCCAAACACACTGTCTAATTGATAAAAACTGCACTGTGTGAATGTCCTGTATCCTTGCAAATTACCCCTCTGATCTTTTCTGAAAAGAGTAAGGCCTGCTGGATTTGAAGGTTAGAACTCTTCTGCTTGTGTTTTGATGGGGAAGGAGGGAATTTCCTCCGATCCTTCTGGGTTGTTCTCAGGCTGGTCAAACAATCAAATTAATATCGGACAGGTTAGATTCAGGGAGATTCAGACCGGGGCTTAGCTGCTTCCTCGGCGTACCTTTGAGGAGAGTCTACGTGGACATGGGTTCCAGGGTCAGTGATCCCAGGCGAGGAGCCTGGGAATCAGAGAGAGGGAACCCCACGCTGAGGGAGGGTGACTCCGTGACCAAGCCGAGCCCGTATCCTGAGATATCCGTCCTGCCTAGAGACAGGTTTCTCTGATAAACAGGTTATTTCTGGAGATAGCCTTAATTCTGGGTACTCTGGGTAGTTAGCAGAGTGGTGGAAGTTTCTAGTGAGCCTGTGGGACCTCAGTTGACCCCAGCTCCAAAAAATCTGCACGCTGCAGTGACAGTGTTGGGCAAAGCCTATTCTGACACCTGGGGGAAACCTGTGCTTCAGTTGTAAGCAAGTAACTGCGGGCCCGAGGCCCCGTGCAGGAGTAGCTGAAGGAGCAGGTCTTTGTTTTGAGGGTGTCAGCTATTCAGAAAGGCACATCCTTCAGCTCCGTGGAAGGAGCTGGCGTGGCTGGTCCCAGTCTTTGTCTTGGCCCAGAGCCCTGGCTGGAATGAGGAACCCCCGCCACCCCCCGCCTTTCACAGAGACGTCACTTCAGTTGGTATTTAAGTGCTAAAGCATAACAGTGAAGCCTTAGAATGAGCCTGTCAGAGTGAGGTCGCTCGGGGTCACCCGCTCCCTCCTTCTTAGAGGGGCGGCACCCAGTGTCCCAAGCAAGGCCCACATGGCAGTGGTCCTGGGCGGGCCCGAGTTGGGGGCTGGAATCTCGGTGCCCTGGATGGAGCGAGAGCAGTGATGTACCTGCCCTGAGCCCCACTTGAGCAAACTGCTTAAGAGAAGTACCCAGGGTCACGGTGAAGTGGCGGGAGGTGGGGCCCGCGTGTCGGGGTCTCGTCCTGGGTTGGGGCCGTCCCGGACCCACTCGGTCTGGAACTGAAGATGAAGACGCCTCCCGGGTGTCCGTCTGTGGCAGCGGAGGAGACGAGGCCTGGTGCTGCCCTGTGGCCGCCAGGCCCCGCAGGCCGCGGCGGCTGCTGTCTGGGCCCATTTCCCTGGGGAGGCGTGTCCGCCCAGAGCAGGTGGCTTCTCCCTGGTGTCAAGATGGGGACCTCGGCAGCAGGAGAAGCGGGGAGTGTGGACAGTCTGTCAAGGACCCACGTTCCGGAATCATGCTTCCTCTGAAAGGAGCAGATGGCATCTTGAAATTGTCTGATGCTGGGCCCCCGGGGTGGGGAGGGGAGTCACCGGGTGTGACTGGCGGGTGTCACGCATCTGTGGCTGAGCTCAGTGGCTCACGCTGCCCGTGAGGCCTGTCCTGTGCCCCTGCGCCCCACCCCCATTCTCTGCAGCCGCTCAGAGACCTCTCCTTTGCTGTCTCCCTTCTGTCTGGCTGCGAGGATTCATGGGTTCGCTGCGTCCCTCTTGCTTTTTCAGGACGGTGAGGTGATCGGCATTAACACGCTGAAAGTGACCGCTGGAATCTCCTTTGCGATCCCCTCTGACAAGATCAAGAAGTTCCTTACAGAGTCCCATGACCGACAGGCCAAAGGTAAAGCCAGACCCAGACGGCCCAAGGGCTTCAGCCCCGGTCTGGCCACTGCCCGGGCCCTGCGGCCGGAGCACACGCCTGGCATCCGCCCGGCCTCGTCTTGGGAAGCCGCGTGACCTTGACTTCACAGTGGGGAGCTGAGGCGCGTTCTGTGCTGAACACCTCGTGTTGGGTGCGGGTAGTGAGGCCGGTGTGGGGGTACCGAGCTAGGTTGCCCCTCATTGTTGTGCATCATTTCATTCCTTGGGCTTGTCAGCGGACGCTTAATCTCAACTGATGACAAAGCCCAGATTCAGGAGGTCAACAGCCCGCAGACGCTGACTGAGCCGTCTGCTCGGGTCGGGCTGCGGCTCCACGGCCCACCGGGGTCGCCCGGGGGTGGGGTGCGTAGCCTCCCCTGGGGGAGGATGACAGCTGATTTCAGATAGCAACGTGTGTGTTTTCCAGAAAACACACAGCGGGTGGGCTTGGGAGTGACCGGAGGGCAGCTGGTGGAGCTGCGTGGCCAGGAAGCTCCCCAGTCTGGATGTGAGGGGAAGGGTGGCAGTCAGGGGTGCGGGGGGAGCATCCCCAAAGAAGAGCAGCCGTGCGGGACCAGGCCGCGAGCCCGGGTCACACATGGGCAGTGGGGCCTGAGCGTAGTGAGCACGGGGGTGTGGGGGTGTGTGTGGAGGAGGTGGAGGGGGCAGACGGATGTGGGCAGGCGTCACAGGCCGGGTGAAGACCGAGGTCCATGCTGCGCCGTGGACAGGGTCTCGTGGTCCGGGTGATGTCTGCGAGGTCGCCCTCGGGGCTGGGAGGGGACGGTGCTGGGGGGCAGTGGGAGCCCACGTGACGCTCTCCCACCCGTCCAGACCAGGGAGAAGCGAAGGGGTCACTCCTGGCCGTGCGTGGGGCCAGGCGCTGCCTCGGGTGAGAGGGTCTCTCCTGAGCTTGTGTCCGGAGCTGGAACGTGGGGCTCTCGCAGTCCCAGAGCGTGGGGGCTGAGCCGGGACCGGGCCTCTGCAAGCCGCGTGACCTTGACTTCACAGTGGGGAGCTGAGGCGCGTTCTCAGCAGGCCGACGCGCCTGTCAGCTGTTCACCTGTGCTTGTCCTTTGCTGTCCCCGCCCCTGCCCAGGCAAAGCCATCACCAAGAAGAAGTACATCGGCATCCGGATGATGTCGCTCACGTCCAGGTGGGTGAGCAGGACGTCCGGTGAGGATGAAGCTGCCCTTCAGCAGGTTCCTCCTGACACCCCGGGAGTGAAACCTGGTGGCGTCTCAGGAGTCTCGTATCATGGTCTGGCGCCAGTTCAGTGACGTCAGGCAGAGAGCCCTGGCCTCTTGTCCCTCTTTCGTTTTGCTTATGACTTCGGAGCTGGCTTTCCGCTTCCACAGCACGCTTTCCTTCTAGAAGCCTCTGGCCTCTTTCAAGGCAGGCCTGGAGGGCAGGGCGTGGGCCTCTCGCCTCCCTTGCAACCACTTGCTGTGTTGACACACACATTCCGGGAGTGCCGAGCACCTCCCGCGCCCAGGGCGCCTGCCTTGCCCTCGCCGGGCCACGTGGGCCGGGGCCCTGGCATGCCGTGTCGGGCCCGTGTGACGGATGGGCTTGTTTTCCGAGCTGGTGGAAGTTGCGGTGTGTGGCTGCCAGGCTCACAACAGCCTGGCGTTCCAGCCCTGATGCGCAAATGCGGTGTGATCCCCCCGGCTCCCGGCCATGAGGGGTGGGCCTGAAAGTGAGGCGCGCGGGTGGGCAGAGGGCACGGCCCGTGACTGCAGTACTGACGTAGTGGTGACACTGCTGGCCCTGGGCGAGTGCTGGGCACATCACTGCGGCCTGGGGTCGTGGAGCGAACGGTGGTGCCTGGCTCGGGGCTGCGGGATTGGGCTGTCTGCCGAGCCTCAGGTGAGAGCTCCGGGAGACAGGTGTTAGGGAGAGCCGATCCGCGTCCTGGCCGTGCTGCTTCCTGGCCTGAGACTTTGGGAACCACCTGACCTCTGAGTGCTTCGGTTTCCTCCTGTCCAGGGTGAGGATAATGGTGCGGGCATTTTGAGGACCAAGTAATTTGATGTCTCAAGGCGTGGCACAGTGTGGCGACAGTGGTCACTGCCCCCCTGACATGCTGAGTAGGCCTCCACGCTGCCTAGTCCTCGTCGCAACCCCGTGTGAGGTTTGCAGGTGAGGCAGCAAAGGCACAGGGAGGTGAAGCCACAGCCTGGGATCACACAGTCCCGAGTGGCTGAGCAGGCCAACAGCTGATCCCTAAGTGGTGACGACTATCAGTTAGCTAATAAAATGAATAATAACGATGATGAAGCACGTCCCTTTCTCACCCAATAAAGCCTGGACGGCAGTGGTCACTTTAAAACAGAACCCAGTTCCTGGAGAAAGTTGACCTGAGAAGCGAGGGTGGAAAGGGGAAGCAGGAGAGGTGGAGACCCCCGTGGAGGAAGTCTGGTCCTTCGTGACATTGACACACGTGCTCTTCTCCCTGGAGCAGCAAGGCCAAAGAGCTGAAGGACCGCCACCGAGACTTCCCCGATGTGCTGTCGGGGGCCTACATCATCGAAGTCATCCCCGACACCCCGGCCGAAGCGTGAGTTGGGATGATTTTCCCTTTTCCAAATGCCCTGTGACTCCTTGGGGTGCAGAGCGTGTTCTTACCAGGCTCAGGCGCTGTGATGAGCCCTCCCCGGGTGTGGAAACGTCCGGTCCTTCTGGGCCCATGGTCCAGCTCCAGACTCACCAGCAAAGGCTCACATCGGGGAGCCCCTTCACTGGGGTTTAGCCAGTGATACTGGGCTCCTTGTGAGTCTCGGGGCAGACCTGGCCAGGGAAGAGGGTCAGGGGCTGTGTCCCCCAGAGCTCCAGCTGTGGTCCGGTCAGTGGTTCCAGAAGGCGCCTCCTCCAGGTCCTTTTCTAATCGTGTTACCGTCTCTCAGACGACACCTGTCCAGGTGCCAGAAAAGTAGCCCAGGGAACAGCACCCTAATGTGCTGAGTACTAACCCAGCCAGCATCTGCTCGCTAGCTCGATGTGGTGCTCACGGAGCGCCTGACCACTGTCTGGTCTGCGCGTTATCTGCTTGGGACCCGAGCTGCTGCTTTCGAATGAGCCCTGGGCTAAGAACAGGTTTTGCTTTGTTCAATGGTTGGGGAAAACTCCAAAATAAGGATAGTATTTTATAAACCATGAAAATGGTATGAAATTCGGATCTCAGTGTCCTGAAATGAAGGGTCGCTGGAGCCCAGCCACACCCAGCTGACCTCATAACGTCTGTGTGGCTTTGGGCCCAATGGCCCCAGGCGCTGCTGTGATGAGACAGTTGCTGTGATGTGCAGCGCTAGAGCTGAGTCTAATCTGGCCCCTTCGAGAAAGCCGCTCACCCCTGTGCTAGACTGTAACGGGCCAGATGCTGCGGTATTTAAGAGCGAGGGCTGCAGCCGTCATGCCCGGGGAAGTTAGCTCACGTGCACACCACACCCCCGGAGGAACGGCCCTCTGCGCCGGGGCACCCATGACAGCAAGTTGGCCAAGGTCATGGTCCATGGTGAATGGCGAGCCCTTGGGGTCCCCGTCACAGGGTCCACAGAGCGAGCACGGGTAGACCTCTCCGCTGTGGACATGACAGATGATTGTCCTGAACATCCCAAGGGGAAGTGTGTTCTGTGGAGGGTCAAGGCCACCCTCGCGCTGCTCGGCGGCCCCCGCGCTGCCTACTCCAGCTCCTACTTCTGGGTCTATGATGGGGGTGCGAGGGGTCGCCGCTGTGGCCCGGAGTCCGGGAGGGCAGCAGCGTGACCACCGTGTCTCCCTGTGTTGCAGCGGCGGCCTCAAGGAGAACGACGTGATCATCAGCATCAACGGGCAGTCGGTGGTCTCGGCCAACGACGTCAGTGACGTCATCAAGAAGGAGAACACCTTGAACATGGTTGTGCGCAGGGGCAACGAGGACATCATGATCACCGTCATCCCCGAAGAAATCGACCCCTAGGCAGAAGCATGAGCTGGACTTCATGTGTGCCTCAGCGACGCCCGCGGACGATGCACGATGATGCTGGGCCGCCGGCCCAGGCGCCCCCGACTGCGGGCCGCCACGCTGCGCGTCCAGCACACTCGTCCTGGGCAGCAGCCCCTTGGTAGTTTGCAGGCAAAACCAACGCAATGCCGTAGACCCCCAGGCAGAAGTGCGCCCCTCGCCCATGTACACGTGCGCTTTTTCTTGCCGGCTTGGCTGTCCTGTGCAGCAGGGTTGTCTGCTCCTTTAGCCAAGTCATCCTCTTAGTCTGACTGAGGCAGGCGACGCCGCGCCTAATGGGAGGATGGTCCCTTGGGAGACGCGGGCCCCCGGGCTGTGCCCGCTGCCCCCGGAGACCAAGGGGTGAGCGCGGGCTCCCACAGTGGCCCAAGTCGCCTCCTGTCGGCTTCTCTGCAGAACTGGGGCGCCGTGACTCCGAATTTGGGCTATTAAAATACTCCTTCCTAATCTGCTTCCTCGTGTGCTTCCTCTCCCTGCTCACGAACAGCGGCCTGCCGTGGCTCGGAAACGACCATCCTGTCCGCAGACCCCGCCTTAAGCCACACCGGCCGGGCAGGGTCGAGCATGACGTCTTGCCAGTTGGCTCAAAATCATCTTGGGGGCTGTGCCAGTCTTGCCCCCAACTGCACTTGGCCGTGCTGGCTTCGCAAATTAGGGTTTGAGGACAGTTCTACCTGCATCTGGAACTTTTTTCTTTCGAGATTTATTTTTTGATGCATACAAGAACTGGGTACAGGCCAGAGGTGTGGTGGGTGAGAGGATCCACCAGAGACAGAATGGGGAGCAGAAGAAGCAGATCCACTGAAGTCCACTGCTGAGGGGAGCAGTGGGGGAGACAGGAGAGGTCTGCTGTGTCCTGTGGGTCACTGTCTGGCCAGGGATTGAACTTGTGCTGTAGTGGCTGTGGAGAGCTTCGCATCGCTGTGCTATAACCCCTTGTGCCACCAGGGAAAGGATTTTCAAAACCCTATCCTGGGTTTTGACAGTGAACTAGACCTTCAGCTTTGGGGGGTTAGCACAGGGCTCCCCTCAACAGGTCCTCCAATAAGTATGGCCTCAGGCACCTCTGCCTCTGTGATAACTTCCAGGAGTTTGGGAAGTGGATCCAAGAAGATGGTTGCAAAACTTTAGCTGGAAGTTTGCATGGGCTGAGTCCCGGCAGAGCAAACAGCAGAACTTGAGGCTGTTTACGCCAAGAACAGAGGAAAAGGCTTTCTAGCTGTCACAGTCAAGAAGAGGACCATGGGCAGGGTGGGGTTCAGGTCTCCAGAGGTCCTGGGAGGTCTTGTGTCTCTCAGGTCGAGTTTGTATCAGGAGTGGCTGGGGACAGCCGCAGGTCAAGTTCAGCGTGCGTCCTCCGTGCAGTGCACCCCGCATGGACAGCAGTGGCAGGCCCTGAGCCCCCATGGACTTCGCAACCCTGGCGTGTCCTTTACTCTGCCTCAGTGACCTTTAGTCAGGAAGGAGCCAAAATCCTTTCCCTGTTGGCGTGGGCTGTATAGTCCCTCCCTCCACTAGAGGAGATGACTCAGCCGCCTGGGGCCCCGGGGGTCACCCTCCGAGGGGTGATCCTCTTGGCCAAGTCAGCGGGTGACTGGGGAGCCCGAATCCCCTGGCGGGGCTGGCATTTCACCCACACCAGTGGTGCATGCAAAGCCATGGGAGGGCCTCGTGGCCCCTGCGGGCACACCGGGCGTCCTGTGGGCTCACTGTGCGTCCGCTTCCCTGGTGGTACTGACCTGTGTCCTGGGGGACTGCTCACACTTGCTTTCACGAGCCTCCTTGGGGCAAGTGTTTTTCTTCTTGCTTTGGGCCGTGGTGGAGGATTTGGCCACATATGTTAACCCTCAGGCCCGCGAGGCAGAGCTGAGTTGAAGCATAGTTAGCAGTTAGAGGACCTGAGTTCAAATCTGCACCCTCCTGGCTGTGTGACCTTTGAGCAAGTTCCTTACCCTCTCTGTGCCTGTTTCCCTACCTGTTTCGGGGATAGTACCTCATATGGCTGGTGCGGGAGGTAAGTGAATTAACACACGACACGTGTTGAGTCTTCAATAATGTTAGCGGCAGATGGGTTACTTCATGCCCGTGAGCCTCAGTTGACCCTGATGTAGAATGGGCACTATGATGCCTCCCCCCGCACCGAGCTGCGAGGATTAACCACAGTGGCGTGTGCCACTAGGCAAATACAGCTGCTCTCGTTGGCCTGCCACCACCCTGGTCTCTAATAGCATCACAACAGCTAGCACCTGTTGCTGCTGGCCGCATGTCAGATTCCATGCTAAGCGTTTTACATTTATGGGCTCACTAGGTTCTCAGATCAGCCCAAAGTGGGTTCTACATCTGACCCCTTTAGACTATTGAAGACATGGACACTCAGAAATTAAGCCCCTGCAAAGAGCTTCGGCTACTGCAGCCGAAGGCCAAGAGCCTGTGCTCGGGGCGGGCTGCCCATCAGCCTGTGCTCGGGGCGGGCTGCCCATCAGCCTGTGCTCGGGGCGGGCTGCCCATC